TTCGAAGCCTGGAGACCTACACCGTGTGAAGTGAAACAGTTGAAGGAGAAACCGTGAAGTGAGTGCTTTGAAGGAACCAGTCAGATGGGTAAAACGAATGATCACGCTTATGGATTATTGTTGAATGGTATGAGTGTTTTACCCTACTGTCATTTCAACTAACGCTATTTGATCAAGATATCAGAACGGTAATTAATATCATGCATGGCAACATTCAAGATCAACCTATTGTGACCAAACCCAAATTATATACTCGGCCTACTAAGGCGGTCATACAAAATAAACATTTCTTTGAGTCTCTGAGGGCTGAAATGATAGCGATTAGTTTACCTCATGTGAAATAAAATAAAGATTCAATTTTTTTCATGTCAGTAAAATATGATTTTTTCTTGTTATTTGCTTTTGGCTAAAATTATCAAATATTGCTTCCCCGATTCTTCAAATCTCCATTCTCGTGAACTACGGACCTCACAGGAGCTGTTGCAAAAACATTGAAACAGAATGAACTGATTGTTTCTTTTATAACAGCAATATACCTCAGCTGAAGGTCAACTATTTGCCCAAAGAAACTTCAAAGCCGTTTGACATATAACCTATTTTCTCTCTCACGCGTAAAGCTAGACCGTACAAAATGCAAATGAGTTAAGAATGACTTTTTCAAGTACCGATTGGGTGTAGCTTTTACTTACAAATACTAAACTTACAAAGTCATGTGACTGTTTTGGTTACCGACTTCTGACTATGCATTTGATCTATCGATGGCGAAAAAGGAAATAAAAGAGTATAATCAAAGTGAGAGTGCAATAAGCACTGGTTACGCATGTGGCACTGTTTATGGCACATAGTCATATCCCTAAATGTTTATAACCGTTGATTAGGCTGGTCGTCATGGCCTTAACCGGAAAGCTTATTACGACCTGCAAGACTTAGAGAAGTGGTTAGTTTATTCACAACCTTACTTCGTGTCAACGTTGGATCACCTGTAGTTCTACTACATCCATCACCTCCTTCAAGAAACATTGCACACCAATGGATCATTTTGATGCATCAATTGTGAAATCTATGGAGTTCAATCAGTTGCACGGATATGCATCATTTAAACAATCACAGGGGTCCAATACTCTGAAGAAATACTGCGGCATTTTTGATGAAGCCCTATCTTTTGTGAATTTCATACGAGGATCTACCGTCTTCTTGTGCTTTGATAAGATATCATTCATATCATTTCATTCTCCTGTAAATTGCTTACTTTCTCATAACTAGCAAAGGAGTTTCCTCAATGCCTAATCCAAGGCTTAGTTTCTGTTCCTAAAGCAGAACGAATACAACACATTCGGTCCGAAGACCAGTTGAAGGATATTTTCTCCCGAGTAATCTTTAATTCTGTCGGAGTGCCGATGCCAACATGAGGAGAAAGTTGTCAAATCTACTGGCGATGAAGGTCATTTAAATTGTTTTTGTTTCAATGTTCTACCACGTAATCGAAAAGGTGTTGCTAAGCATGAATTCGCGTTGTTATTCTTCGGAGCCATCGCATCTCAGCCCAGATTCTGCGAACTCGTATTCCCAACAGAAAGGTTTCCACTTATAACTAAATTCAGCAAACTTCTTCCTCTTCGTGAATTCACTTGTTGCTTTCATTCTTCAATATCCTGATAAAGTGGTAATTGAGGAATTTGCTTGGTGTGTCATAACTGCCAACCAACGGGTAAGCTTTGTGTGTCAGTCGTTTTTGCTTCAAATCATCGATCCTTTGAAAGGTTATCACGCAGTCTTTTCGATAAGTTTCCATTCTTCATTGAGTCATTCATTGAGTCTTAAAGACTGGGTTCGATGAGAAATGTTATTGAAAATATCGCTCTCCCTGATTTCCAAGTTTTATGTAATTTCCGAACGGTAAATTTAATTTGTGCCAACCCCAAGATGAAAAGCGCTGCATTGGCGACTGAACATGATCCAAAATAAGTTTGTCTCGAGATCGGTCAAAGGTTTCTATGCCATGGCGGACTGGTGACCACCACACGTACGTGACAAACAAATTTTCAATTGTTTTTCGCAGACAGATGAAAACCCAATAACCAGTCGGAGTAACCGAAATTGCATACGGCTGCATCTAAAAATTTGTTTTGAAAAGTCTCTCATTTTGTCATGGCGATGAGTCTACAATTATGCAATAATACATGTGAGTGAACAGTTCGCGACCCTAAGGCTGCCAACGATCAATTATACTCTTTCAAATTTAACACCGTTTGTTATCGTTATTTTTTATCTGTTTAGTTAATGAGATGATTACTAAGTAATGGATTTTGTCTGACCAGGGATCAAATGTTCTTCCAAATCTGCTTTGACAAAAACAAGATGTTCACATGTTCAAGTGAAGGTGATTTAGCTCAGCTTAGCTGTTCATGCTTGCCAAGGCATGAAACAAATCGTCAGATCGGACGTTATATTAGATAATAATGCCCAAAAGGTGCTTCGACACTTATATATTGCATACTCATGCATCGTGTGCAGAACTATTTCTAATCATCGGGATTCATGAAATTCGCCAGTCTCAGTTTTATACCACAGTGATAATTTTGTTCAAAGAGCCTAGCTCCGTTCAGTTCGTACAGCTGTAAGAGTTTTTACTGTTAGTATTGAGATTATATTTCCCCGTCATACTTGTGTATACATACCGACTACGGGAGAATTTCCCTTCGTACCGATCACCCCGAAGTTCGCAAGCAGTACAAATGAAAACGTTTACTGAAAATGTTTGCAAATGAAACTTCGGTATTGAGTTATTGAGAAAATAAATATCAATCAACTTAGTGATATTTATTACTCAATATAAAAGTAAAGTATGTGGCTGGCTTCAATCAAGCTACAAGCGGTCATGACGGCCACTACCTGTTCCTACAATCACTAGCAATGCAAAGCTTGTTGGTGAACGCTTGAAGACAGTTATAACTCTGATTAATATCAATCAAACCTTGCGGTTGCCGTAATTGGTGTCAAACCTTCTGTAGATCGTCTAAGTTGATCTTGTATTGCTGTGCAGGTGAAAACACAGATTCTTTGTGACTTTGATTCGCATGACTGAAGTCTCGGGAATGGTCCCAAATTTACATTTATGTGAATGCTTTTCCTGTGATTCAACTTGCTGAGCTATATTCATGCACAAGACTTCTGCAAAAATGTTTCACGAAAGCTGTTTCAGTAGTATTCATTTAAATCACGTCTTTCTTTAATTGATTTCATTTTTAACCAGTTCATACTCTCAAGTCTTTGCGAATAAGCTATAATGGACACCTCTCCTAGATCGGATCATTCTATCGTCGGTTTTTCAGCAAAACCATTTGGTGATCAGTCACTGGCGACTTATCACTTTTAAACCACACTGCGAAATCTCGGTTAGGTGTTCGATAGACAATTTACCAAGATGTACATGTTATAGTCACGGCACACAAGTTTGCGAATAAGGATTAGTGTGATAGGGAGTCCAAAGACGGTTGAACAAAATGTGTGATACACTTCAACCCTTCAGTCAAAGTCTCATTTGCTCATCTTACCAAAATATGCAGAACTCAGTAACATACATGAGCCTATTACGTATTCGTCTGTAGAGAACAGTTCGGAACTATCCAGGTCGGTGTAGTGTATAAATCCGAATGAATAATCTCCCGTTTGCTTTAGATGAAATTATGAACAACGGTCGTTCTACCTTTCGGAAAAATGATGGGAATATCAGATGTATCATTGTGGAACTATTTCCGTTTGCACGATATAACTGTGAAAGTATCGTGAGGCTCGATGAGTTTCGAATCCTGGATGCACACCATTCACCCCTTTGTACGACTGTACTAGCTGATCGTGATTGGTTGTTACCTGAAGCATATCTCGTGAACCTCGGTGATGCTAAAATAACCAAGCTTTAACAATCCGTATGCAGTTTTGACTGATACGTGGATTCTTCATGACAAACCAAATTTCTAATTATTCTATGGAAGCAAACAAACTGATTCACATTATCAAACTAAGCTAATCATTGAGCGCTTTTTATCACTCTGTATTATCAGCCGCACAGTTGATGTAGAAAACAGCAAAACAGCAACCGAAAATTGTTGTTTTACGGGCAATGTATGAAACGATAGCTGACAGTTATTGACATATTTATTCTCGCAAGATGCCCCCAGATACATAGTGCGCCGTGTCAGTCGGCACGTACCACCAACTTTTTCTTAAATTAATTAGCCCCTGTGTTGTCAATGTGTTTGATAACAGTTTCATGGCTAGATTTCCTAATATCTTTCACTTGTCAAAAGTTCCATTCATATAGTTGTCTCCGGTAATTCATTTGAATAGGAAGTAACCAGTGTTTAGTGAACAAATTCACCAACAATATGGTTGAATCTGGACCAAACATATGACAAAACATTGTCAAATGGACCACATATGTTCCACATTTGTGCAATAATTTACCTTTTTCTCTGTCCATAACTTGCAACCCAAAATGATGTTTTGTCAAACCTAACCAGTCATTATATTATACACTTCGCATCAGAATACGCTGCTCGATGCAATTGTAAAATCTAGTCTCAATCAAATGCTGACACGTATGCATGGGTGTCAAATTAACACAAATTTACGTTTTTTCTACACAACAAAATTTATGAACTGAACCATTGTCTATTTTTGGATGAGCATGCTGTAAAATGCTGTTCGTCTGTCACTCAAAACAAAGGGGAGAGTGATGGTGCATTTGGTAATAATTGTATTCTATACACGTGTTCACATCCGTTTGAATTTAGCGCACATTTCCTTGACAAATCTGTGAATCGGGAACATGAAAAGTACAATATAATACAAAATAAGTGCATCACCGATAATAAACAATATTCTGCTTCGCCTCTGTTGGCATAGAAAAAATACAAAAATGCTCTGAGTGCTCAACGGTTGCAGCAAAATATTTCGATCAAGAATCAGGAAGAATATACGATGTCTCTGTATTATTTCTATCAGCTTTGGCACACACCAAGACGCAAAAGTTTATTCCATCCTTGTCTCATTTTCCACGGTGTTCCAAATTGGTGCGCAGAGACTAACGTGGATAATTCTGAATCAACCGGGGCGTGACTTAGGTACACATTGCGTATATTTTGTGGACTGATTCCGTATTTTTGAAGCACAATACCCAAATACGTGTCATCTATCCAGAAAAATTTCACAAATGGCATTCCGGCTGCCACCAGTCGAACAACAGGCATACTCATTATCACAGTTCCACCAGTGGGATACGGCGGATAAAATCGATGTGGATACAGCGCGTAAGAAACATACCACTTTTTCCAAGGTCTCCGCTCCGGTATTGGAGTTGAGAACACGTAGCCGGCCACGTATGTGGCATGCTGCACTTGGGGCACTTCATCCAAGATGCGGATCATATTCTTTATGTGCACAAGAAAATCCTCATCCATGATCACAACAAAACGAGCGTTTCTGCAATGTTTTGAGACATATTTCAACGAGGTCATCATTTTGTACGTGTTGTTGTGATAAGCATCCACAAAACTGAATTGCAATAAATCATGATACTCGTCGTGTTCTTGTTGAAGGCGGTTGTCCAGCCACGGTTGAGCGAATGCGGGGGAGCCCAATGCGAACACCGTGCGGATAGTGTAATTCAAATTAGCTGCGCACGAGGCATTTGCCCATGTTTGTCGAATTGCGTTCCGTTGACTGAACGAGCTCAGTCTCGTTTTGACTATGAAAATAATGTCGACTGGGTTAAATATGGATTCATTGGCTAGCTCGGGGTATTCCGGTATGCAGAGAGATTGAGGAGCACGGATCAGTGAGAAATTTGCCAGATTGATAGGACGAACAGGAAGGTGCAATGAGGGAGTCCACTCCCCATCTGGACCGAGGTCGGAATAAATTTTGTACAAATTTACATCTAGAGGATAACTGTACAATGTTGAGTCTAACGCGTACCCATTATTAATGTAGAGGATTGTCAAAGTTATGAATATCACTATGAATAGGACGCATAAGGTACGCGCAAGCCATCGCAGTCTCACGTAGAACATTTTAGGAGATTTCAGTCGTCTGCTTTTCTCCATCTTCCTCCAAATCTGAAAAGGATAGTAGAAGAGTGGTACGCTATTTCAGTTGTTCATAACAGACAATGAAATAGAATGATATAGAAATTAATAAAAGAGAACTGATTCATACAAGGCAAACCATTTAATGTATTTTGGGAAATCACGTAAGGTTTTCTTTCCAAGGCTAAACGTTCACGGGGAAAGGGGATCGCAACGGCTCAGTCCTTTCGGGGTAAAATGGAATGTAACTGGAAAGAACATAAACCCGTGAAAATGGAGGTGACAATTATGGTTTTCCAAATCGTTTTACCTTCCATTAAGACCATCTTAACTATGAGCACGACAAGAGACCTCGTTTAGGATCAGATAGTATTAAGAAAATAAACCGCCTTGATCAGACGAAATATAATGCAGATTGTGTAAACTTTACTGCTTCTGAAGCGCATACATATTATATTGTTTTATTATTACGAATAATAATGTATGTTCTAATTATTCTTTTAGTTTTATCATCAAAGATATGTTGCTATTGAGGATATTGATTACTCTTGTGCTTCCTGATCTCTCATACCTCAGTATTTTCCAGGTATAATACCTAACCGCTGGAAGCAAAATATTATAGCATCGTTAGTGTGCTCGTCAGATCGAAACGTTTGGGGCTTGTTTGAATTTTTATTCAAAACCAGCTCAGAACTGATCAACTGTGTACTGTAAGCTAACACAGCATGTACTCTGTGGATAGGGAGGATGCAAGCCAAATGATCCCTGAACTGCTGACGGAGTAGCTCATCAACTCGATTCAACATTCTCCAGTCGAGGTTTGTCTCGGTGCCACGCGTATACAGTTTAGGTACCATCTGTCACAAGCATATTAGGTGAGCGACATCAGCCAGGTATCTCTTCTCCGATCAATTTCATTTATTCACTTATAGGTAGCTATTTTGCTGAACATCGAATATTAACCCTTAAAATAGGGTTTCTCAAAACTCTCTTTGTGGAAGTTTGTACACCTAGTAACGCTCTTATTTTTTTATTACAAACCACTTTGAGATAAACATCAGACAGGGTAAACCCATATTCCCGAAGACCTGCTATTCAGTAATGGTAACCGGCCACCTAGGCTCCGGGACTTGGAGTGGAAAATCACATAAGGCCGCGATAAGTCAAGCTTGGTATCGAACCGGACGACAGCAAAGCTGCCTACCACCAAAGTTGGGTGGCGGTGACGGGGCTAAAAACTTGGACCACACGGTATAAAGCACCTCGGTGACCGCGAATAGATCATTGTGCCAACACCACCCAATGTATATCTGTTCCTGACGTTTGTACCGTGATCGACCTACTGATGAGAAATGCCCTCTTTACGATGGGAATGAAAAGTATTCCAGGGATCAAAAATTAAGCGCCAACTTAATTCTTTGATTTTTTACAAATAAGCATCCAGTAGGCCATCAAGTAAGGTACTTGGGGAAATTCTGTCTAGTTCACATTTCAGGGATCTGTAGACGACTTTCCCATTCTTAATCGACACACCTTAGGATACCCCACAAAAGTAACCCGCATTCACTTTTTAACTAAAAGTGAGCAAACAGATATGCATTTGATGGCAAGGTAAAATTTTTACCCATCACGACTAGACTGCACATTGGCGTGGTATGATGACTTGCGTGCCTCAATGACCCTGCGAGCTACACAGGATGGCTTCTAATAGCCGTATATCCAATCATGCCTGAAAGGTCAACGGGCAGAGACCAGACAAAGTTCAGGTTCACAAGGCCAGTTGCTTGGGCACCTCCTGGCTTCATTCTTCTATCCACACCCGCCCCTGGAAAGGCCACTCCAGCAAACAAACACAGTGAGAGGTAGTTTAAAGGTCAAAAAAGCCCCACTAGATGGACGGAGGAGCGGGGTACCTGGAGCTACCTCTCGAAAGTGGGAAAAGTCTTCGCACTTCACTGGACAGCTACCGCCCGCAAAGGCTCGGCAGCCCCCAGCCAACAAAGTGCTGTCCCGTCCACGTTCCGCTTCTCTCATTGGGTGCATGAAGCTAAGGGCTGATCCCGGAAAGCGGACCGATAATCAACGCACCAGCGAACAACAAACTTAACCGAAATTCAAAGGCCTTGCGTGACAGGTGTCCAGAAGCTCCCACACGGGTGTTTCGTTCACTCGCCCGCGTTGGATCTACGCCCTACTGCCTTGTGGGTCGGACTCTTGAGTCAAAGGCTCCGGTTAGGGTTCCCAAAGGAAAACCCGTTCTTCAGTTTGGGCTATCGCGAATTATGTTGTGCCCTTAAGTTTTACGCACCCATTTGGAAAACCATCTTTCCCACCTGTATAGTTCTTCTTCTCAACCCCGAAAAATCCCAGATGCCTCCTGTTTACGCCCCCCATCGATTATCACTCAGGGCTTTACCCTCAAAGTTGGACATTCAGAAGCTATAGGATTTTTAAAGCCAAAATCCCCTTTTCACTCAGCCGTGTTCAACATCCGCACGCTCTATCAGATGGGCCAACAAGCTGCCTTGGCTAGAACCCTCGAAACTTTCAATGTAGATGTATGTTGTGTCTCCGAAACACACACAAAACCCCACTTCCATTATCTCTCTGCGTTTTCCTGATTCAACAGCAACCTCAAGCTTCACCGTTCGTGTGTCGGGCGATTCGGCATCCAAAACCAAGGTGTTTCTGGTGTCGGTATTGCGCTAAGTGCTAAGGCTGAACGCGCGCTTCTCGACTGGATTCCAGTCAGTAGCCGATTGTGCGCTGTACGTCTCAACGGTTTAGTTAGAGTCAACAACTACAGAATGAAGCGTCGATGCTTATTCGTTGTATCTGGGACTGCACCAACCGATTGCAGTATACCTGAAATCAAGGATGATTTCTACCAGGATCTTTCTCAACTACTCCAAAGTGCTCGATTAACGGACGTCGTAGTAGTCGCCAGGGACTTCTATGATCAAGTGGGATACCTGGACGAATCAGAAAGGCTTCTTGGCGGACCACATGCAATCCCAGCTAACCGGACGGACACGGATTCTTTCTTTCAAACACGACTTTCTCGCACAAGAAACGCCATCGGCTTATATGGGAACCGCCAACCTCTTTACTGCGCTGGGCCCACATCGCCATCAGTTACCGCTGGAGGCTCAGCGTTAGTCTTGGAGATGACCAAACTCCTGGGTTCAGTATGGCAAAGGGAAGAGGTTCCAGCTGAATGGTGTAAATCGGTGATCATACCGATTTATAAGAAAGGTGATAGTTCCTCTTGTGAAATCCATACAGGAATTAGTTTA